ATCGCAGCTGTGGTTCGTCAATATAAAAACCAAAAATCCACGGACTGGCAAGTGTTTCATTGAGCAGACAGTCAAACCAGCCATTACAGGATTGTTCAAAAGGTTTCTTTGTCGATACATTTACCCAATTTGCAAATGGAAGTCTCCACTACTTTCGTTGTTTTTTACTGTCAGGAGGAAATCGAGTTCTCTAAGATAACTGTAGTATGCAGCGCCCCCATATTGTTCTGGTTGCAAATTGAAGACTATTTTTTTTTTTGCCGCAGATTTCCTGAGTCTTGATATTTTGTAATTGGGATATTGTTTCCCGTTCCCGTCTCCGTTGGAAAATCGTTTCTTTGATGTTTTTTCCTCAAAACAGACAGGCTAAAAATGTTTACAACACGATACAAGAAGGCTGGGTGGGGCAGGAAAGGTTACCTGGCCTCTAGCTTTTGTATCTTCCTAGTACATACTTTTTTTAGGTGGATGAGCCAGATGGGGAAGGGGGTGTCTCACGGTTTCCTCCCGTACGTTTTTGTGGACTGTTTATAGATCCTTATGCTTATATGACATCTTCTTCTACTTTCCAAGGAACCGCTGATATATGAGCTTACGGGTTTTTTTTTTTCACTTATCAGCTGATAGAATTTTCTAAACGGGTACAAACTTATTTTTAACACTCACAACGGTCGAAATGCCCCAAGCTATGAGGAATCCAGAAATCAAGTTCACAAAGGTATGTTAAACCTTCGAGACGGCCGAAATTTTGAACAACATTTAACTGCAAGAAAAAACTCACCATCAGCTGTTTTTACCAATTGATAGATAACTTTACTGATCAAGGTTTTCAAAGCAGGAAGGTCTGGTGGGATAATACTTCCCGACACGTCAATCATGAACGCTACATCCATGACAACGGGGCATTCTAAATAAAATAAAAAAGAGATGAAAGATATGAAAGCTTAAAATTTCAATGTTAAGCGAACTCAGCAATGTTTAAATGAAGGATTTAATTAAGGCCTTGAGCCTCTGTATTTCTATTTTTTATACCAAGCTTTCGTTGTTCCACGGCATCGTCAGCGAATGTTGACAAAATATTTCATTCTGCGTAACATAATAGCGATGTAGGTGATGCCATGATAGTTTTTTTTTTAGGTGAAACAACGAAAGCATAAAGTCATAAAATCCTCTGCTTTGGCCCTAATAAGCATGATACCGACGAGGTCATCTTAAGGGAGAGTATTGAGTGAAAGATCAGCGTTTCAAAATGTGAGATAAATTATAAACAAAAGCACGCGTGCGCAACTAAATAAAGGCAAAGTTTAAAATGCTCGTGTGTAAACAGTCAGATGTAACTTTTGACAGAAATGTGCTGTACGTCATAGGCCAATCTTATCAATCCGGCCCTCGACCTCTATTGTGGACGAGTGATAATGTGCCTCGAAGATTTGACGTTCAATACGGCCTGCAATGAGACATGAGATCGGGTTGAAAGGGTGAAAACGGAAGCTTCGAACGACTTTATTTTGACATGAAGACTTATCCGTTTAGTCACGGTACTGCAATGTCAATGTAAATTGAGAATTAGCATATGGTGGCGCCTGAATGATAGCAAATCAAAATAGGTAAATCATATTAAATCACACAATTTTTTTCAGTCTTCGTCCGGCCTGGTCTTGACCATTTATTCCCACCTCGATGCTTGCAGTCTCGGGTCATAAAGATCCGCACGAACAACTAGTCTAATACAAACTACAAACCTACTGGATGTAAACATTTATCTTCACTTAAACTTTCACTTACCAACGATATAAGCGGTGGGATCCATAACATCTTAGTGCATGTCTTTCTGCAAGAATCATTGAATTATCTATCTAGAATATAATGTTTCAAGTCATACTCGAATCCTTCTATGTGAAGACAGTGATGTCAGTATTATCCATAGAGCTCAAGATGTACTCAGCTGACCGGAAAAGGAGAGAGAATAATAAGTAAAAACCTTATTCAGCTCTGCTACAATAAACAAGACTAGCAGATGATGGGCAAAGCTCAAATTTGATTGGTGGCATTTGTTATTAATTCATCTCGGAGTAGAAGAAAATTACGATTGGTGGCATTTGTTATTAATTCATCTCGGATTAGAAGAAAATTACGATCTCGTTTCGTTGGTGAGTAAATGAAATGAAAGAGTGTTTTGGTCTTTGCTTGATCGTTGCTTTTCGGCTCTGTTCAGGATTGTAGCCGCTAGCTCCAGAAACTGCACAAAGGGAGTGAAAGTAAGAAATCGAAAGAAACTGCATGCAGTTAAGAACAAAAACAAAATAAGGTAAGGATCATTATTTATTGCCTTGGAAGGGTGGGGTAGGGGGGAAGGGGTAGGGAGGCTCGGAGGATTTTGGTTGAATCACGATAAGATGTACGTGATTCCTCCATAGGGCTCTGTATTTTTTCCTATGATCCCGATTCATTAGGAGTCAATTGGCTATAAATTCTCTATGGTCCTTCCCCCGTTTATACTCTATTGGCGACGACTAATTCCCCCTCCCTTGAGAAACTGCAGTTAAGAACGGAAAA